TCTCTGTGTTTCCCAAGCCAGTTATGGGATACAGAGCCTAAGTCCCAGTTTCTCATGGTGCACATGATATGCAGTTGCGGTCTTGTGAAATTTTGATTGCCATTGTGTGCAAAGTTAATGGGCCTGTAGAGTGTCACATTTGTAATTTTAGCTTTTAGGAGCATGCTATGCACACTTTTGACAAACCCATGCTGCTGCTGGCTTCACAGCAGAGGACGTCTTGATCAGTGTGTTCTCAAAGATGACCAAAAAGTTTATGAAGAGTCAGCAAGAAGTGGGTGGCTGCTAGGGTTTTGCTAACTGGCCCATGTGTCATATATTCTGGTCCAAGATAAAGGCTCAGGCCCATTCTTTTAGACATTTCATCCATTTTATCGCCCACCAGGACTATGTCCAAACACCTATGGCAGTGTTTCCCAACCCTGTTCCTAGAGGCACACCACCAGAACTCGTTGAGCTCTTTCTAATAAAACACACCTGATTCAGCTAGTCAGCTCATTAGTAGACTCCAATATGGGACAGGGCAATTTTGGCCCTCAACATCCACTTTCCTGCAGAGGTTCGCTTTCCAGTAATCCTAAATACCATGATTAGCTTGTTTAGGTGTGTTTGATTAGGGTTGGAGTTATAAGCTCTGCAGAAAAATGGATCTCAGTGGCCAGAGTTGCACACCCCTTCTCCAAGACCTGAAATGCATTGATCCTTTAAGACAGGGGTGGCCAACGTTGGTTCTGGAGAGCCGCAGTCCCGCAGAGTTTTGCTCCAACCTTGATTAAAAACTAACCTGCCTATAGCTTTTTAGTAACCCTTAAACCTTTATTAGCTTGTTCATGTGTGTTTGAGTAGGAATGAAAGGGTTTAGGGTTCGAGAGAAACTCTGCAGGACTGTGACTCTCCAGGTCTGACGTTGACCACTCCTGATTTAAGGGAAGATATCCAAGTGTGTACTGTTGGTGTGTCTCTGTGAACAGATTTTGGAAACACTGACTTGTTGGGGAATTCACATTGACCGTAATTAGAGGTGACAAAGCAACTAGAAGTCATTCCGGCCATATGAGAGGTTTGACTTGTTAATATCTAGATATTTAAATGTCTTTGAAGTGAAATACACTTTAGAGACAAGCCACAGACGACCAGATTTGGGCACAAACAGTTCAGGACATTTCTGCACCAAGTTTCTAACTTAAAGTTAGAGGTTTGTTCAAATCCCTTACACAGTATGTCCTAATTGTGATGCTTGTCATAGAAACCACTGCTAAGGAAAGGGTCAGAAAAGAACCTAATGTCTAGGAGGGCCCCTCATCATTCCAACAAAGCATACCTGCACACTGACCCTCTCTCATTATTACATTTAGACTCAAGCTGTGAAAGCTGCTTTTATCCCTCATTCACACTGATGCAGAAGGCAGCAGGCATTGATTTTTTTGCACTCTTTGTTCCAGCAGCTGTCTACAGCGAGATTGCTTTGGATGTGAGAGAAGTCTTTCCTCCAAACGCACACACCAGTAGCCAAAGTCTTAAGCCATATGATGAACCTTTTGGACGTGACATTTGCAGTCAAAATGTAACTTTCCAGAAAAAATACTAATTACCAGTATATTGATCAATTGTGTCTATAATCTGATTTAAGACCTGCAGAAAGAGACTGGACATCTGAAAAAATATAGTCCGGTTTTGATTTGGGAAGTTGAACTAAGGCCTGTTTCACACTGCATGCAGAAGTAGCATGAAGGAAGCATTTAAGCAACGCACGTTTATTTCGGCCATATTAATGCCGATATTAAAGGTTACATATTTCACACTGCCCACTTAGTGCAGTGCTGCGTAGCAGAAGTGTTCTGTATGTATCTTTTTCTGTCACTGAGGCTTTTTGTGCAGTACATACTGCAGCATGCTCAACATGGTATGGTTAAAATGTAGTATAAACCTAGTCATCAATATTTTTGCAATATAGGCAACATGAACATAAAATAATGGGATGAACCACTTGATACGGACTTGATACAAATTTAACATACAGTAACACAAATAAATGCAGTAATTGCAGAAAAAAACGTTATTCAGTAATAGTTATTCAACTTACATGCTAAATTTAGTTTGTATGAGATTAACTTAACCTAACGTTAAATGTGTATAAATAAGGTATGTATAACTTATGAATAAGTTATGCAAAACTCTGTTATGTAGCACTTTATTCCAGTAAAATACAATTTAAAAGTTCTGCTAAAATTGTAGATTTTTTTAATGCTATGGTTGACATTTTCGTAGAATTGCCACATGCTGGACAAAGTTAATTAGATTTTGACATGAGAAGCTCTCCCAGATACTGAGGCCTGTTCATGCCTTACTATACTAAGTACAACTAATATGAAGTACAGCTCTTTCATACCAGTATGTCTCCTGTGTCATGTGCTGTGGGCCTGTAAGCCTTTCTGGGTGTTTAGTTTGCGTGCATGACTTTATTTACGTCTTACTCCTGTTTCTCTCAGCCATGTGTCTGTATTTATAACTGCTGTGCTCTGGGCTTGTGTATCACGGGGGGCCTCATTACCACTTGCTCGTGTTTGTATGTCAGGTCATATATTAACTCTAAGTCTGTTACTCGTCTCTGAACGAGAACAGAACCTAACCTCATAGGGAATCTCATAACGAGAATATGTTCTCTAAAAGTGTTACGTTCATTTATTTGTTTGTTTACTGACAGGAATCAATCTATTGCCTGAAACATGACAGAATTAGGTTCCTCCTTGTTTTTTCTTTTGAGCTAAGATGTCAAATGGCACACGTGCAGAGTTTATTATCTCAAAACCATTAACTAAAAAGAGGTCAGGGTGTTTTTTTTTGTTTGTTTTTTTGCTCATTAAGTTTAGTGTATTGAGGACCTTGCAAATATCTCACTCCTAGGTTCTTGTCAATTCATGACGAGCTTATCCCTAATAAATTAGCCTGAAAATCAATAGTTAAGCAGTTTCTGAGGCAATAGTTGCAACTTCATGTTTTGTCACATTGAACTGTGTAACTTTCCTGTGGTTTAAGTTTCCCACAGTGATGAAAGGGCTCAATTCAGAACTGAAAGATGTTACATAACTGTCAGCAAACCAACCCCCCATCCCCCAACCCCCTTGATAGACACTGTTTTAAAGCAGATACTGGTTAGAAAAATATGTTTTCTATTAGCAGATTTTGAATCTGTCAGCCTCTGCTTATGGACACTGTGTCTACAGGCCTCAAGAGATGAAATGTCCAGAAAGCCACTGTCACTGTGCTGACAAAAGAAAACCAGACAGTTGGATGGTTGTTCTTTTGATCTTTGGGGGGGAAACTTGTCATGCTGTGGTTAACTGTGATCGGCTAATCAACAGGAATACACATGGTTGCTTTATGACAGCCCTGCAGTTTGGCAGGAGAGGCAAGATGACAGCTCACTACGGGGCAAAATGTAAAAGCCAGTGACCATGATGCCTGATGTTGATATTTTAGCCCTTCACAGAAAGATAGCTTCATAACTTGGCGTTTCTTGAATATCCCCACCTAGTATCTACACTGTAAAAAATTACCGTGAATTTAGCGGTAAAAGACTGTAAAAATGCTACAGTAAAAACCTGTTAAATGGTTAACGGTAAATTCCCCTACTATATACGGTAAAAAACTGTATTGGACATTAATTATACGGTAGTATACCGTTTTTGGAAGTGAAAAAGTGAATAACCGTAAATTGACATTCCCAGAATTCCCTGCTTTACATTTCAAATTTGATGTTTTTTGTTGTTGAAATAACTGTTTCTTCTTAGTTTTTTCTTGTCAGTTTTGTATATTAGGGTTGTGTGTTACTCCTAATGTTGTTAAATGAATGTTTATTGCATTATTTCAGTTTCATGTGTGTTACCATGATGGTGTTTAGCGTTTGTGTGAATGGCACTGTGCACCTTCTATACATGTTATTATTCTTTTTATTATCCCAAGTCCAACCTCTAAACTGTACCGCTGGTCTTTTTAATCTTCTTGCATATGAATCCGCGGGGTACAATTAACAAATCGCACCAAGCATGCACTTTTAACCTCAGGTCATCATAAACAATTACTGTCAGTGTACTGGGTTAATTGAAGTCTCACGGCTGAGCACAACACTGGCTTTCCAGCAGACCTCCTACTTCATCTGAATGGCTGACACAATAGATTCACTACATATACATGCCCAATTACCTTTCATACAACATAAAACACCTTCGAGTCATCAGTTGGGGGTCCAACTGTCATTGTTCCAGAATATTTATCTTCTAATGTCTCTTTAATATCTGCAGTCTAAAAGATAATCTTTGTTTTTGCCCTGTTGAAAAATGTTGGGGGTTAATTCCATGCTGACAATGACTGACTGAATGAGAAAATTTAATATAAATCACATACAAGCAGTCACACTGTATATCACATTAGCGCTTTGAGTCACACAAGTTTGAGTCCTAGCTCTTCTTTCTTTGCTGCAACTGTTCATAAAATTAAATAAAATAAAATAAAAAAGCTAAATAAATAAATAAAATATGAATGAAGACATGACACTATAAACTAATGCAGTACGCAGAAGTTAGCCAATATGTTATTTACATATGCTGCCATATTTATGCAAGAAATTAAAGGATGTTTTATTATTATTATATATTTTTTAACTGATTATTTATGGTGCATCTCTCTCTCTGGTGTGTGAGAAGATGAATTTAATAGAGATATAGCATGTAAAATTAAAATAACTTGGAAAATCATTTACTATGATGTGATCTATATTATACATCAGTGTTTCTTCAATGTTTTAAATCGACACTCCACTTCCAACGTCACAACTCGGCAACTCGTGTCCCATTTCCCACATGTAAATACAACCTTACTTTGTCATTCATGTGTTTGGAACGCCTAATTACAATATTTCCACTTACGTGGAACATTATTTGAATATCATTCCTTGTTATTGAACGTCACACTGATATTCAGTGTTTCCTCCTTTCCCGCAGGAGGCGCTGTCCATTTCACTTGGAGGTCACCAGACTGTCAGGAGAGCACACGGTCTGAGAACAGGTGCCAGGCCTGCTCTCTTCTGTCACCCCAGTGCCACTCTGACAGCCCAGGTGAGTGTTTCACACAGTATGATTTATTCATAGCCAGAGCTACTGTGCAAAGCTATGCTATGCTAAGCCCTATCCCAAATGACGACCCAAAGCCCTCACAGTCGCATTCAGACTCTACAGCAGTGATCCTCAAATCTGGCTCACGAGATCCACTTTCCTGCAGAGTTTATCTCTAACCCTAATCAAACACACCTGAGTTTGCTAATCAATGTCTTCAGGATCATTACCCCTTGTGCAAATACCCACACTTGCGGTCTTGGCCACTTGAGAGCGCGTGCGCACGACAGGAAGTAAGTGCGCAAGACTGTCCCAGGTCTTAAAAACGCCAGAGCGCAGTGTCCTTAAAGCACACTAAATCCACACTATCTCGAATACCGCTCCGGAGCGCTATTCGAGGCTTAGTATATCCCATCATGCATCATGTTCTGGAAATAAATCGTGAGACTTTTTGCCGAGATCTCACGAGAGGTCACGGAAACCTTTCCAATGCAAGTTAAATATTAATATGATAATTAGATATTACATATAATTTGGTAGAAAAACAGTGTTTTTACGTTTTATTGGTGCAAAGATGAGTAGTGGTGATATTTATTTGCAACTGCTTTTTATCACTTAATTAAAAGCGCCACACATTAAAATTGTCATGTTATAGGGACTACTGAACAGACATTTAGAAGTTGATTTTAAAATGCAAAGTATTTAAAATTAAAATTTAATTAAAGCACTTGCATTTTTACAACACTACAAGTGTGTCCCATCAGG